CAAAATCCATTTTACTTTGAGATAAGTTTTAAAAATAATTTTCAAGATGAAAGCCTCATTTAATATTTCAAGTTTTCTTATCTAAGAACAGTGTGTTCCTTTTATTTATTGTGCTTTGATCTTCTAAAGTGATGTTTTATGAGTAATTTATAATCCTTTATTTCATATTAGGATTATTCCTACATAGCTATAGCTCTTGCTATTATTATGTCTATAATCACCTTTTATTTATATATTTTAATTATATGTTACTGTGCTAAAAGGATACAATAAATTTGTGCATAATTATTTGTACAGTGCTAAATTAACAAACTACATTATTAGTTCTAATAGTTGAATTTGATTCTTTTGGATTTTGTGGGTAGAAAAGAGTTCATAAATCTTTTCCATCACTAATACTTTTTATTTTCTTATCTGTACTTTTCAAAATTGCTTAGAGGGCACATGCACTCACCAGAGAGAAAGACAGACAGCTGTAAAGAGAGAGAGAAAACATCCTTCCAATGCGATGTGTTCACACTGCAATCCTTTTTCCTCCATTTCTTCATCTGATCAGGATTCAGGGCATGCATACATATGCATCCCCCATGTTTTACAAGCTGCCAGGGAGAGACTAGAATCATGGTTTATCATGTGGGGTCCTACTCACCATGCTTAGCACTTACCCATTAAGCTGTGGGATACTCTTACCTGTATTTCAATTAGGCTATTCAGTGCAATACTGAATACAAGGTGGTAAAAAGGGCAGGAAAATTTTATTACGATGGATTCCTGTAATGTTCTTTATCAAATGATGTAATTTTTCTTATTCTGTATTTTTATTATAAATTAGTGTTGAATATTAACTAATGACTTCTTTCATAAATCACGATTATCATATTTTTCCTTTCACATTATGAAGTACAGAATTGCATTGACAATTGGCCTAATTCCTATCATTCTGAACAAATTCTGCTTCATCAATGCACATCAAATGCTATTTTTAGCAATATCTTAGACATTTGACATCTATATATTTAATAAAATTTGCTTATTAATAGTTTTATTTGCATGTTTGGAATAATGATTTTGTGAGGTTCACGGAATGAATGAAAAAGGTCCATTAGAAATTAAATTCATGTATTCTCTACTGATGAACAATTTAATTAACCTCAGAATAAAATTTGATAGTGAAATAATTTAGGGCCTATTTTTCCTTTTTTGTGTGTCATCTGTGACTTTCTGTTGTCTTTACATTTTTCACTTTTTAAGTAGTTACTGTTTTTTTAAATAAAAAATTATATATTTTTCATATCAATCTTACATTGCATAATTTTCAAAATTATTCACATGCATGTTACAGCATGTTTTGTCACAAATTTTAAAAATAAATACAACTGTTCTTGTGATAACAATCACTATTTCACACCACCAATTTTATTGGTTGTTCTTCCTTTTTTCCCTTTCATTGTACTTGCCAAAGAATGTTTATGTTATGACTTTGCCAATAACCAAACTTTGGTTTTTATTTATAGGTCTTTCTTTCTATCCTTGGTTTTTATTTATGGATCTATCTATCTTTCAAATGGAACAATTCCAAGAGTGTAAAAGTTATTCTTACATTGAAGAATATAAAGTAAAAATTTCATTCTATGTTTTCCAAACCTCCTACTATTTCCAGTAGAAATTATAATTACTTAGCTTGTGTTCTCACTCCAGAATTTCCTCTTTTTAAAGTTATTTAATTTTATTTATTACTGTTATTTTTAAATTTGCTATAGGGCACATGTGCAAGAGAGAGAGAGAAAGAAAGGTGAGAAAGCACACCACTAGATCCAGGACTTGAACTGTGGTTGGCCATGTTGGCGTCCAGCACCCCAACCATCCCACCACCTGCCATCCCCCTTATTCCAGAATTTTCTAAACATTTAATTGCATTTCTAAAATTTTAATGGATGTGTACAATATCTTTTGTATTTACTAAATAGTTTTTTAACACATTATCTCTGATTTGGCTGTGGCAACATAACAGGGACTGCTAATGTGTACTATATAGAAAACTGCATCAATAGATCAAAGATAAGAGGAAAAAAAAACATGAAATGCCCATGTGACATTCAAGAAAAAAGAAAACACTGAAGATCAAAAAAAAAAAAAAATGGAATTTAGAGCCAGACTATTACATTTGCTGTATGATACTAAAATGTACAAGAGTTGAAAATATTTGGGTGGCCACCTCCCTAGTCCCCAAAATATATGACTACAGGAAAATAGATAATATAAGATCAGCTCTGTGCCAAGCACTCAGATAGAACTGAGGGGGCTTGATAAACACCATGGGAAGACTATCATTATTTAGAAGGGTCTAGAACAAAAATATCAAAACTAAGAAATAAAAACAACCCAAGTCAGTAATAAGAGTAAACCTTCAAAAACAAAATGAGTGAACAAACAATCTACAAAGAAAATGATAGGAGTTAAAGTGTCAAGTTACAGGGCTATCTAGAAAGTGGTTGAAACAATTTATATTAAGACTTATAAATTAAGGGTATATGTTACCATTTCTAGGCTACTACCCTTCCACAACTATAAAAGAATGAATACTAAAATTCTAGTGGAGAAGAAATAAGTTATGTAAAAATACTATTAGTCCAGGGAACCAGCAGGTGGCATGGTGGTTAAGGCACTGGACTCCCACATGACTGACCAAGGTTTGAATCCTGGACCTGGTAGCTTGCTTATTCTCCCTCTCTCTGATCAACTTTGATAGTGAAATAATTTAGGGCCTATTTTTCCTTTTTTGTGTGTCATCTGTGACTTTCTGTTGTCTTTACATTTTTCACTTTTTAAGTAGTTACTGTTTTTTTAAATAAAAAATTATATATTTTTCATATCAATCTTACATTGCATAATTTTCAAAATTATTCACATGCATGTTACAGCATGTTTTGTCACAAATTTTAAAAATAAATACAACTGTTCTTGTGATAACAATCACTATTTCACACCACCAATTTTATTGGTTGTTCTTCCTTTTTTCCCTTTCATTGTACTTGCCAAAGAATGTTTATGTTATGACTTTGCCAATAACCAAACTTTGGTTTTTATTTATAGGTCTTTCTTTCTATCCTTGGTTTTTATTTATGGATCTATCTATCTTTCAAATGGAACAATTCCAAGAGTGTAAAAGTTATTCTTACATTGAAGAATATAAAGTAAAAATTTCATTCTATGTTTTCCAAACCTCCTACTATTTCCAGTAGAAATTATAATTACTTAGCTTGTGTTCTCACTCCAGAATTTCCTCTTTTTAAAGTTATTTAATTTTATTTATTACTGTTATTTTTAAATTTGCTATAGGGCACATGTGCAAGAGAGAGAGAGAAAGAAAGGTGAGAAAGCACACCACTAGATCCAGGACTTGAACTGTGGTTGGCCATGTTGGCGTCCAGCACCCCAACCATCCCACCACCTGCCATCCCCCTTATTCCAGAATTTTCTAAACATTTAATTGCATTTCTAAAATTTTAATGGATGTGTACAATATCTTTTGTATTTACTAAATAGTTTTTTAACACATTATCTCTGATTTGGCTGTGGCAACATAACAGGGACTGCTAATGTGTACTATATAGAAAACTGCATCAATAGATCAAAGATAAGAGGAAAAAAAAACATGAAATGCCCATGTGACATTCAAGAAAAAAGAAAACACTGAAGATCAAAAAAAAAAAAAAAATGGAATTTAGAGCCAGACTATTACATTTGCTGTATGATACTAAAATGTACAAGAGTTGAAAATATTTGGGTGGCCACCTCCCTAGTCCCCAAAATATATGACTACAGGAAAATAGATAATATAAGATCAGCTCTGTGCCAAGCACTCAGATAGAACTGAGGGGGCTTGATAAACACCATGGGAAGACTATCATTATTTAGAAGGGTCTAGAACAAAAATATCAAAACTAAGAAATAAAAACAACCCAAGTCAGTAATAAGAGTAAACCTTCAAAAACAAAATGAGTGAACAAACAATCTACAAAGAAAATGATAGGAGTTAAAGTGTCAAGTTACAGGGCTATCTAGAAAGTGGTTGAAACAATTTATATTAAGACTTATAAATTAAGGGTATATGTTACCATTTCTAGGCTACTACCCTTCCACAACTATAAAAGAATGAATACTAAAATTCTAGTGGAGAAGAAATAAGTTATGTAAAAATACTATTAGTCCAGGGAACCAGCAGGTGGCATGGTGGTTAAGGCACTGGACTCCCACATGACTGACCAAGGTTTGAATCCTGGACCTGGTAGCTTGCTTATTCTCCCTCTCTCTGATCAACTGAAAAATAATAAATAAAATTAGTGTGAGGAAAGACATTAAGGAGAAAAATAGACAGGTAAGACATTTATGGGACACCGAAATGGATTATTATCTATTGATGATAACATGTATAGTATCCTTAATTGGACTGGTGTGAAAGGTATTTATGTTAGAAAATTCACTTTACAAGCTAAGTGATGTATAGTAATTGAATGTATAAAAGAAATTAAAATGTTATAAATAATAAACTCAATTAATAATTCTTAAAAAAACCTATTAGTCCAAATAAATGGGGAAAAAGTATAAATGAAGTAGAATATACATGAGTCTAACTATATCTATCTGAAACAATATTAAAATAATACATATTCATGAAAAATTCATTAATCACATTAGATGTAACTGGACAAAATATTCTAAGTAAAAATTACAATTCTCACTATATAAAGCATTAAGATCATTCCATCTTTTTCCAGATATTTACCATTTTTGTTGTATACCAATTGCATCTATTTGGGTTATGACTCATAACCCATTAGAGTTACTATGTATGAGTCACTCATATGCATATATGTAAAAGTCTTCTTTCTGTTACTTCAATGACACTTACTAGGCAGTAGAACTAAATCCACTCATATATATAGACATGTATTTTAATACTGAGGCCTGGAAAGAGTATTCATTTTCTCTATTTTTACCTTCCTTAACTGTCCTGGAAACAACATGCCAGAATGGAGCAGTACTGTGTAAAGAAGGAAAGAAAAATCTACACAGTCATTGCAATCAGCAACAATCACTTTAGTAATCTTACCAAACTTAGCAGTACTATATTAGTAATAATTTGTGATCCATTTCTTTATAACTCACTGATAATATGGATATGGATTCTTACCTATTGAAATAAAACTCAAATATACATAAGAGCAATGGTGATTTCATTCACTTATTTGCATTTGTTGTTCATGCAAACACTTTATAATGAAAGTTCTACTTTCATAACTTTCATAATTTTGAATTCAAATTTCACTCTTCTAGGGAACCAGCAGTTAGAGTAATGGCTATGTCACTGGACTCCTACACCACGGTTCGCGTTCTGGACCCGGTGGCTTAAAACTCACGCCGGGCGCGTGTGCGTGCGTGCCCAAAATCCCGAGAGGAGAATGGAGAAGGGATTGCGGCGTGACCATCCCCCCTGGGGGGTGATTTCTCGCTTTCTGTCTCTATGTCTCTCTCTGTCTGTCTGGCGAACGCACGCGCCCTATAGCGAAAAATCTCTCCAAAAAAAAAAAAATCACTCTTCTATTAAATTCTACAACAAATATTTATTGAGTGCTTACTTTGCCAGACTTTTTCCTAAGACTAGAGAATGTATCTAGTCCCGTTAAAGAAAATACTTACACATAGCCTAATAGTTCACATTCTTCTCATTTTTCATTATTTTTTATGGTCAAGTGAAAATTAAGCCAGTTATCACTAAGCGGACCCATTTTCACCATCCACTTTTGAAAACTGTGGATGTTGTTTTAATTAATTTGATTCCCTTACCTTTTTCTCAGGTATCTGCTGCTTGATTGGTCTCTTGCTATTAACATGATTCTCTTTTCTCTATGCCTGAAGCACAGCACAAATTAGAAACAGCGTCACAAAAATCATTCAGAAGACTACACCCAAACAGTACCTGAGGCCCTCACCAAGACAAATATACCTGAAAACACTGTGCTAGAGGATAAAACTCCTATAAGAGAATGAATTGTACAAAGATCAAAGATCTATGTAATAATAATGTATAGCCCTGTAACTAAAATGAACACATACCAGAAAAAAAAAAAAAAAAAGAAAAATGCAAGAGTGATTTTGTTATTCCCTAGGTCCATGCTTTCAAAGCTTGAAAAGGAAAACCGAACTTGCAAAGTTCCCACTATGGCAGGAGAACCCATTACCGTTGTTTGTTTACTGCAGAGATTTTCTTACTTCCTGAAGACAATTCATACAGCCACTGATTACGCAAAGCCACTGCTCACTGGGCCTTGCTTACCATTTAGGAACCCAGAATAACCACGGTAAGGATGAGAAAGCGGCCGGCCGCGCGTGCGCGTGGAGGGCACAATACACACGCGACCGTCTGACACTTTATTGAACACCAGGCCTTCGCTGTACAGGGCCGAGGTGAGGGGCTCAGCCCATGTGGTGCCGGGTGCCATAGCGAGTGTCCTTCCAGTCGTCCCATTCCCACACTTGGCCGACCGCCTTCTCGTCCTCCTCGGGCGCGGGTGTCCCCGGGGCCGTCGCGGGGTCCGGCAGCGCCCCATACTTCCGCTGCTGGTCATACCAGTCGCTCACCGTCATGGTGGCCTGGCTGGGGTAGCCGGCTCCCAACACGGCGGCGCCCTGGGCCCTGCTCCGAGCGAGGACGAAGGGCCTGACCTGAGGCCTCTCCGGAGGAGGCAAGTGCGACCTCGACGTCTCTCCGCAGGCGTCCCTGGCCCTCAGGATCCGCGTCTCCTGGTCGATGGCCTCGATCTCCTCGAGGCTGATGCCCACCCACCTGCGCAGGTGGAGGAGGTAGTACTCGCGGACGCTCTCATCGTCGGCCAGCCCGCCGTCCACGGCCCCCTGCAGCGCCTCCAGCCTGCGCTCCAGCTCCTTCCGCTGCCGGCGGCGCCCCACCGTGGCCCGCCGCCGCGCTGCCATGGCAACCAGGCCCGCCGGCCCCGAGCTGGCAGCGCGGCCTTCCTCCTCCGCGCCCTCGTCGGCCTGCGGCAGCTCCAACTCCGCCACGCGGTAGTACTGGCAGCGGGCGAGGTAGTCCAGGAAGAGCTCCCGAGCCAGCTGCAGCTGCTGCAGACGCCTGCCCGCCCAGACCTGCTTCAGGACCAGGGCTCCTCGCAGCGCCGGCACCAGCAGGTACTTGAGGTCGGCCGAAGCCATCTCCTCCAGGTCTTCGCTTAGGCTGAACGTGTCGAGCTGCCCCAACATCTCGGCCGCCTGCTCCAGGGACTCCAGCGCCCTGGCCTCCTTAGCCTGGACTGTCCGGGAGCCAGTGGGCTCACAGGTGGCGTCCACTTCGTCCAGGAGCTGCTTGCCCTCTTCGAACAGCTCGGGGAGCCAGGGCAGCTGGAACTGGTCTGCAGCCGCTGCCATCTTGGAAGAGGGCAGCTGGCTCATCTCATTATTTCATAAGCACGTGAAAGAGTGGCCATCAGACCTGTGGTTTGACACTCAGAGAAGTATCTGGTGTGCTCAAAATCCCCCTCCAAATAAAGCAAGAATCCCAGGAAGTCTGCCCTATCTTCTGATTCCAGTGACAGTTCTATTTTTATTTCACCATAGTTACCTTCACTGCGTTCGGTCCTTCCTTGAATTTCACCAGTTTTTTGGGGAGGATGGTGCTGGTGTTGACGCTTTTAAATGAATGTTGAGCTGGTTTTGACATTACAGTAATAGGCAATCCAGAAGGAATGTTGACGTTTTCTCCTTGAGCTACCATACCACTTTAAAGCTATTTTCACTACTAAGTAGGCCGAGTACGAACAAGGTAGAATAAAGCAAACAAACAAAAATGTAGGTCTTATTTAGAAAGGCAAAGGAGGGGAGAAAAAGCAAAATAAATAAAATTTGAACTTGATGCTCAGGGATTTAAAGAAACAGCCTATAACACCTTAAAACAGATTTTGGTTGTGTAAACAAATCCCCAATCAATATGGCCTTGGTCTACATGACTAATATAATAGAACGAAGAAAGCCAGAGAAAATATATGGCCCATGTTCTTTCATGTAAATAATAGCCTCAAAATTCTTCTGTTCAAATAGAATATAGCGTTTCATATGCATTCCAAAAAGGCTCATCCAGATAATTAAAGGAAGACCACTGTGAGTCATGGATTACTTTATTTCCAAGGTCCTTTGGGAATACTACCCAGGAGTAAACCATAAAATTCACAGTCTCTATTTTTTAATTGACAAGTACAAATTATATATACTTACAGTGTATGTTTTGATTTATGTTTACATTTTGGAATGGCTAACTCAGACTAGTTAACATACGCGTTACATCCTTTTTGTGTGTGTGGTGCAAACAGGTAAAATCTACTGTCTTACAGTTTTCAACTACAAAATATGGTGTTATTATGTCTAAACTATGTAAAATGATCTCTTGAGCTTATTCTTCCTGTCTAGTTGAAATTGTTTCCTTTGACTAGTTCCCTTATTCCTCAGACTCTGGTAACTACCATTTTACTATCTATTTCTATTAGTTCAACACTTTACACTCCACACATAAATGAGACAACATGGTATTTGTTGTTCTGTGTCTGGCTAAATTTATTTAATATAGTGTTATCTAGGCTTATCCATTTTATTGTAGATGACAGAATTTTCTTTTTCTAAGGCTAAATAATATTCTTCTATGTATGTATACCACATTTTCTTTATTTATTCATCTGTTCTTGAATGCATAGGTTGACACTATATATTAGACATCATGAATAATGCTGCAATGAACATTAAAGTGCAGATAATCTCTTTGACATACTAATTTCATATACTTTGGGAACATATCCAATAGTGGAATTTCTGGATCATATGTTAGTTCTATTTTAAAATTTTTTGGAAACCTCCATACTGTTTTATATGATAGCTGTACTAATTTACATTCCTACCAACAGTGTACAATGGTTTCTTTTTTTCGATATCATTATCTCTTGCTTATTGATAGTAGCCTTTCTAACAAGTTTGAAGAACTATCTCAATCTGGCTTTAATTTGCACCTCCCTAATAAATAGTGATTTATTTATCCATTATGTTATTAACAGAAATACTTGAGGTTGAGTGACTTATAAAGAAAGAGGTTTATTTCCAAAACTCATGATGCTATTTTCTACAAAGTCCGAAGACATCACAAAGTAGTGGAAAGCAGAACTTTGAGAAGAGTAGAGCTTGGTCTGTATCCATGTGGCTCTGCCTGCCTCACTTCCTCTCCCTATACACTCACCAGAACTCATTCATGAGAGCTCTCTTTAATGACTGTATCACATCCAAAGGCCCCACCTTTTGACATCATAATTAGATACATTTTTCTTGCTCATAATCTTAATACAATGACTTAACAACATAAATTTTGGGAGACATACTAAAAAATACAACAGTGACATTGAGCACATTTTTATATAACTTTGGGGCATTTTTATGCCTTCTTTTGAGAAATATTTATTCATATCTTTTGCTCATTTTATAACTGGATTGTTTTCTTACTATTGAGTTCTTTGAGTTTCTTAAATTTTTTATACTAACCCCTTAGCAGATGTATGGCTTAAACATACATTCACCCATTCAGTAGGTTCTTTATATTTTATGTTGATTGTTTCCTTTCTTCTGTGGAAGCTTTGTAATTTGACATAATCACATCTGTCTACTTTTGCTTTTGTTGCCTTTGTTTTTGAATGGTTATATATGAAAAATCAGTGCCCATATCACTGTCATGAAGCTTTTTATGTTTGCTTCTAGTATTTTTATAGTTTCAGGTCTTGTGTTTTGCCTTATACTTTTTTGAGGTTTTTTTTTTTTTTTTTTTTTTCCTATGGTGAGATCAAATGCAATCTTCTGCATGTGGATATCAAGTTTTCCTTGCACCTCTCATTAAAGTGACTGTTTTTTGTACACAACACCTTTGTGTGATCTTTGTATCTTCATCAAAAATCAGTTGCATAATGGTGTCATCAAACCAATCCAAGTACAGATGTGGAACAGATCACTTGCTTCCAGAAAAGCCAAACTAGCCAATAGGGTTTATTGAGGAGAAAGGCTTTATTATAGGTAATATCATCTGGAAGACAACTAAGTTTGCTTAAAAAGCCATCTTCCCCACTGTGTTCACAGATGAACTTTTACAGAGAAATACATCTGGATCTAGGCTCTAGTTTAGTCCAGGTATGCAAATGAAAGATTGAAATATGTGCAGCTCTGATTGATTAAACAGTAGTCCCATCTGTCCACTGTTAAAACTGGTACTGTTCTGATTGGTCTCTCTGATACAAATAGCATCCACACTCCTTCCCTGCAGTGGAGGTTGACTTTAGGTCACTCAGCCTTCTGGGTGCATGTGCCTAATGCTGACCAGTTACAATGGGTAGATTTATTTCTGGGTTCTCTTTTCTGTTCTATTGGTCTTTGTATTTATGCTGTTTTGAATACTACAGCTTTTGTAGATTTTTAAATCTAATAGTATTTTTCCCTTTTTCTTTGTTCTTTTTCTTCAAGAGTGCTTTTGCCTTTTGTAGTTTCACATAAATTTTAGAATATTTTTATTTTTGTAAAAAATATTATTGGAATTTTTTTGCATTGAATTTATAGATCCTTCTGGGTAGTATGGACTTTAGTTATTGGGTCAGCTGAAAAGCCATGGCATATTTTTCTATATAAAAATGTATCATGACTTTTCTGACAACCCAATATATTTCTTTAACTCCTTGAACATAGTATATCTTTCCATTTATTTGCATTTTCTTCAATGTTCTTTTCTACAATATTTCATAATTTTTAGTATATAAATCGTTCATCTCCCTAGTTAATTGATTCCCAAGTATTTTATTATTTTTTGTAGTTATAATAAAGGGTAATTTTAAATTTTCTTTTTCAGATAGTTCATTATCAATGTATAAAAGCACTACTGATTTTTCTTTTTTTAGAATTATTTTAACTCTATTTATTTGATTTTTATTATTTATTTATTTTAATTTTATCAGAGAGAAAGAGAAAGAGAGAGAGAGAGAGAAAGCAAACTGCTGGGTCCAGGACTCGAACCACGGTCAGCCATGTGGGAGTCTAGCACCTTACCCACCACGCCACCTGCCAGCCCCTCTGGCTACTGATTTTTGTATGCTGATTTTATATGCTTCAACTTTAATGAATTTGCATATCATTTTCATCAGTTTATTTTAGTCACATCTTTAAATATATAGATCTCATTCTCAAATGGAGACAATTTAATTTCTTCCTTTCCAATTTATATGCCTTTTATTTCTTTCTCTTGTCTAATTGCTCTGGCTAGGACTTCCAATAATTCATTTATTCACACTGGTACAAGTGATTGTCTTTGTATTGTTTTTGATCTCAGAAGAAAAGCTTTTAACTTTTCACTATTGCATATGATACTAGATATGGGCTTATCATATATGGCTTTTTGTGTGTGTTGAGATACATTCCTTCTATTCCTAACTTGTTGATAATTTTTATCATGAAAGATTGTTGAACTTTTCAAATGCCTTTTCTTGAGATTAATAACATGGATTTTTGTCTTTCATTCTGTTCATGTGATATATATGCATTTTCTGATTGGGTATGTAGAAACACCCTTGCGTTTCAGGGGTAAATACCACTTGATCATGGTCAGTGATCTTTTAATGTGCTATTGGATTCAGTGTGCTAGTACTTGGTTGAAGATTTTTGCACATATGTTCATGAGGGATATTGGCCTACAATTTTCGTTTCTTGTAATGACCTAACTTGATTTGGGTATTAGAGTAAAGCTGGCCTCCTAAAATGACTTGAGAAGGTTTTCCTCCTCTCCGTGTTTTTTGTTTTTTGTTTTTTGTTTTTTCCCTATAGTGATTTTTGCTATAGGACATGTGTGCTCACAAGAGACACAGAGAGAAATAGAGAGAGAAAGTGAGAAATCACCTCCCAGGTAGAATGGCCACTCTCGGCCCTTCACCTCCATTCTCCTCTCAGGAATTTAGGCGTGCATGCACATGCACCTGGTATGCGTTTCAAGCTACTGAGTCCAGGACTTAAACTGCAGTCTGCTATGAGGGAATCCAACACCTTAACCACTATGCCACCTGCTGACCCCATTCCTCTTCAAATTTTTGGACATTTTGAAAATGATTGGTATTGGGGCATGGTGGCGCCCGTCCTATGGCGAAAATGATTGGTATTGATTTTTACATGTTAGCTGGAATTTAGCAGGAAAGCTATCTAGTCCTGAGATTTCTTTGATAGGAGACTGTTTATTAGTGACTTAAGTCTCTGTTACTTGTTCAGATTATCTATATTTTCATGGTTCAGTTTGGGTAGTCTACATGTGTCCAGGAATTTGTTGATTTCTTCTCAGTTATCCAATTTGTTGGCACTTAATTGTTCAGAGTCGTTTCTTTTATCATTTTTTCTTACTTTTCATATACAATCACTGTATATCTTTACAACCTAGAAGTGAATTTTCCTAGCATGAAAACACAGAATGTTAGTCCAGTCAAGGATATTACCATACACATTGTCATCAACAGATAGTTTTCCATTGTTTTGTCAATTG